GAGTCGTAGGGGTCACTTCCAGGCCTTGGACTTAAGCCCCGATACCCGAGAACAAAAACCGTAATATAGGGGCCTTAATAATTACCTATATTATTTTGGGGCTTCCTTAAATTACTATCTAAAGCCCCTATGTTATGGCATGTTTCTAACTTTCGACCCCATCACATGTGTTACGAAGCTCTACAAACTCAGCGACTCCGTGCAAATGGTCTTTTGAGTTTCTTTGGGCCTCGATAGAGGTTTAGGGTTTTATGGTTTAGGGTTTTCGATAGCAAATGCCCGACATCTAGGCCCGGCGCGGCGGTCTGCGCCTCCTCTGCACAACAAAGCGCCAGCCCCGCGCCAGGTGCGGCTCCAACGAGCGCCTAGAGAAAAGGATGGAGCTGACACCCTAACCCCTAAACCCTAAAACCCTAAACCCTAAAACCCTAAAGCCCTAAAACCCTAAAACCCTAACACCCTAAACCCTGAACCCAGGGGCTTCTTTGGTCTGGACGGAGCCAAAAGCTTTTGGGGGTTGCTTCAGTGATTCTGGCAGTACTGCAGGTGCCAGATGTCGTCGGGGTTTATAGCGCTGTGGGGATGGATTTCTTGGCATGTCCCATAAGAGTTGCATTTTCTGCCGCAGACTGAATACACACATTTTGAAACCAGAAACTTCGTACCCTCCAAGCTAGGCCCCGCCTGCATGGCTCCATTGGCACCTGCAGAACCAGGGGCGAAGAATTGAACCTGGAAGGGGTCTGGCGGTTTAGGGTCAAGGTGGGGCTTGAGGGTTTCGGGATTTAGGCGTTATGCGGTTTAGGGCACAAGAGTGCGGGGGTTTTGGGTTCACGACTGCATTTGCAAGCGTTTGGCTCTAGGGCTTCAGGGTTAGGGCTAGGGGTTTGAGCCACACCCTGAATCCTCGCATTGCAGTACAGAAGCTTGAACCCTTGCATTGTAGTAAAGTAGCATGAGGTAGCATGCAACCTGAACGCGGCTCCGTGCTGTAGCCGGCGAGGGTAACACAACTTGCGGTTGAATCGCCACTCACAATTCGCTGGAGCTACCTGGTTTCCCGGAGTACCCTTCAAAGTGGTCTGATATTCCTCCTTCTTCGGTATTCAAGTGTTGCGATTGACGGCAATTGAGGAATCCAAGGTTGGTTTGGCCAGGTTCAGGCTTCTGGGTTTGGCTCTGTGGGGAATTTACCTAGAGTCTCCATTGTAGTTCTTTTTTTGAGGGATACCTCATAAAATCCTTAATGTATATATATATATAGAATATAGTTAAACCAAAAAACTACAATGGAGACTATAAGTAGGTTGCAGAAGCTTTCGAGATCTCTGCTTCCGATAATTCACAGTCTCATGAAGTCTGAAACTCCTTGGGGTGTGCGGGTAATGTAGGGGCCATAGTAATTAGAACAGGGTTTTGGGCTCCTGTATAATATACTAATAGTAAGGAACCCGAAGGATTAATATTGTCGGTTATTTAGTCTTCGATATTCTAAGCGACTTCTTGCACATGATAACTGAGCTACATCACACTAGCAAACATGTGGATCGTCATGATGCGCAGACATCGATTTAGCTCTACTGCACCATGAGCTGAGGACATGTCGAAACACACACACTACCACACTCGTGCAGACAACCTCGCGAAAGCTTCATCTTAAAACAACAGCTAAACACCGATCCCTAAAACCCTGAACCGCAATTTCTGAACAAGACTGAACTCCAAACCCAAATAAACACTGAACCCGAAACCCCAAACCCTGAACCCCAAACCCTACAAACCCGAAACCCTAAACCCTAAACCCTAAAGCACTAAACCCTAAACCCTAAACCCTAAACCCTAAAGCACTAAACCCTACAAACCCGAAACCCAGAGGAGCCCCGAAGCCTCTGCAACCCTACTTGGAGGGTCGGGGGACTTAGTAAATGGTTATTTTATAGACTTATAAGTACTATAACCCCAATTAGGGTTTAGGGTTTAGGGTTTAGGGTTTAGGGGGCTTAGTAAATGGCTATTTTATAGACTT